TCTTACTGCCCCTCCTCTTATACACCCTCTTGTAGTTCCTTGTAGGACCAGCACCTACCAACCCAAGTTTCAACCTAGAGAATATTTTGGTAACATGAACTGTATGTGACTATTTCACTCCATAGGCTACTCCAGATTCCTTGAGATTTACTAAATTGGCCACAGCTAACTCTTTATTAGCCTCCCTCCTCCTACCAAATCCACCCCTAAACTTCCTAATTCTTATCACCACCTCCTCAAATAATTGATGACCAACTTCAACACCCTCAGTTTGTATCAAAGCACATTAGTTCGCGACCAAGATTCCGCTACTTACATCACCAACACCACAATCTCATCCTACTTCGACAACAATGACCTCCCTTGAAACCTTCTTCACCAGACCATTCTTTTCTTCTTTATGGATCCCACAGGAATCAATAAACAAAATATCTTTCACAATAGGAATAAGGTTCGAGGACGACATACCATTGTTCTCTTTTAATGTCAATGATTTAAGTTCCTCCACAGATTTATCCCTATTTCGCATGCAGCAAACTTGATCCTCATCGCTGTTGCCATTGTCAAGGCTTTGAACATCATCTTTGATATTATGCCCCTCTATCGATTTCACATTAATCTTCTTCTTTTTGCCTTCAACAAATCTGAAAATCTCCCATTCCCACCTTATTTCTTTTCTCCTTCAAAACTATTCAAATTAAGCTTGTTCAATCTCTTGCGTCTAACATTCTTTGAGGGTTTAAAATTTACTGACCTCTTTCTACTTACCCCTAGATTGGGTGGATCGAATGAGTTCCCCGCACCTTTTGGTCTGGTCTTTAGAAGGTGGGCCCCAGCTTCAATTCCAGCCTCCCCTTCGCGACAAAGACATCTTTTCATCTCCCTCTCCCAGCCCAAATCCCATTCCCTCTTGACCTGGAACATATATCTCAGCCTCTATCTCTCCTCTAATATCATAATTCATTAAGTTCAACGGGCCAGTTTCAGTTTTTCCTTTAGCTGATCTTGTATGGGCGCCACCCATCTCTCCTATTTTAGAACCTTCCCGAAACTCCCCTTTTCACCATCCCAAGGTCTTGGAAATCAATTAGCCTCAAATCACCAACCCCACCATTGACTTTTAGAATTTTTTCCCAATACACCCTCATCTTCAACCTCTGACTTCTCCACTGCTATGAACCAGTTCAACTTCTGCGTATTCAAACCTATCGAAGACAGATCACAGAGGCCCACTCCCCTCCTTCCAAAAAAACCAAATTTTCAACACAGCAACCAGGGTAAGTTCCTTCTACCACCACTCTTAAATCAAGGATTTCTCCGCCAAAATGAAACATCAAAGATGCTGAAACAAGGTAAATTTCCACCACCTCGACTAAAATCCATGCACATACTAGACTTTTCCACTCGATGGTTCTTGAATCAACAAACCTGAACCTCCCACAAGCATCCCCAACATCCCTAAATGTTTGGAAGCTCCAGGCATGTAATGGAATACCAAAAACATTTATCCAGACAAAGCTTGAAGATCCCACGTTTCTCAAAGCTCCAACAAGCAAGTTCCACCTCCCCAACCTTAACTCTGGAACCCATAGTTAATCTTGTTCTTGCTCAAGAATATCAAGAGCTTCATCCTCGCTGCTAAAGGAGAAAAGAAAGAAACCCGTGTTTAGCCTCCCCAACTGTACTATTCACCTCTTCCATGTCTTGCTCTCATCATCACCACCTTCCCCACCTTCTGTGTCTGTTTGTTCTTTGTTTCCTCTACCATCAACTGCTCACTCTTCCTCCTCTCTTGTCATTTTTTCCCTAAATGACTATATTATTGGGTGTTGTACCTTATAATAGTTTTTGTTTTAAGACTATATAATATGTGTGTGTGTGTGTCTGTATTATGTTTTATGACTTCTGATTTTTTTGCAGTTTTTACTTGAGCAAGTTGGGTGATTGAACTGAATGGTAGGACCATTCAATCTGTAACTCAGTATGCAACACAAGTCAATATCCAATCTGAATCTGCAAACTTTGGATTGGATCATTGGACAAGATTAAAAGACAATGGATGCAGAGAGGCATCCAGAAAATAATAATTACTAATAAAAAGTACATCTTGTGTATTGTAACAAGCAGTTAAAATCACATCTACAAGGTTTAATTGCTACCCTAGGAACTTTAAATAGGAAAAAGATATTGGTTGATATTTACTTGTTTTGAAGAAAAGGTAATGTATTGTATTAATCTGATCAAAATATAATAACATATATAAAGCCCTGTTCAATAAGATACTGTGCAGGGACCATCGTCCTCTCTGTAGACCAAGTATTCTGTATTCGTAGTTACAAAAAGATTACTAAGATCAAAAAAGGACTTCACAATGTATCCTTTTTTTTTGAGAGAGAGTGAGAGAGAGACAGAGAACTTTAAGATGTACCCTTGAGCTGCTTATGTACTGCTACCCATGAGTAAAGCCTACCCCATAAGCCATAATCCCTTCATTACAGTATCTTCTGTGTCCATATTGAACAAACCACTGCTGCAGGCAACACTCCCCATATGATCTTCCCATTTTTTTGACAAACCTTTCAGCTGCCAGCACCACAACACCACCTCAAAAACCCATTGTCCTTGCCCACAGCACCCTTGCAAACTTGCAATGAATAAATACTGAATAAATAAATGAGCTAACTCTTCCGTGGCATCGATGTCTCACACTTTCATAATGTGGCTGTCCATACCAAAACAGCTACATAAGATGTGCTACAGTTTTCCACACTCTGGCCTCAAGGAATTTCTCATTTCTCCAACTCTTCACAACCAACCTATTGTAGAAAGATGTTGCTGTGAAGTTGCTTGATTTCTCCCACACCCATATTCTTTTTCACTCCTTGATCTATCAGGTTTGATTGTGCTGGTTCTTTGCATCGTCCCTATCCACTGCCCTATCTACCAGTCATTCAGGTTCCTTCTAAAAATGCAGCACCAGTTGCCTGCATCCTTGTCATAGGAAAAGACTTCTTAGGTCATGCATTCCTTGTTCTGCGCGATCTCAAACAGGGTTGAGAACATCTCTTTAAGAGGTTGATTTCCAGACCAGCTGTCCTATGAAAATTTTATCCCTGTTCCATCTCCAACTACAAACTTCATATCTTTTTCTAAACTCTCTTGCTGATTTCTGTAAACCCTTTCATACTGCAGACCCATTTATTATGTTGATCTCTCCTGGTTCCCAATTCAGATTGCTTGAACCATATTGTTGCCAAAATGGTTCTTCACCAAAAACTGTTAGGCTGTTCATTCCACCTCCAATAATACTTACCTAAACAAGCCACATTGAATTTTCCAGTTCTCTTCATCCCTAGACCCCCTGCCTTACTTGAGTTGCAAACCTTACTCAACTTGACCAGGTGGAAATTGAAATCATCCTTCCACTTCCATCCTTTCCACAATAAATCTCTCATTCTCCTTTTAATTATCTTGGCTGCACTTGCCGGGATTTGGAATAAGGATAATAAATATGTAGATAGAGAAGACATAACACTATTGACTAGGCTCAAATTTCCTCCTTTTGACAAGTATCTTCTTTTCCAAGAGGCTAATTTCGTTTCGATTCTCTCCATCACCAACTCCCAAATCTTCTTTGAAATACAACTCTGTCCAAGAGGCATCCCCAAGTATTTTGCACGCATTCAGGCAATTTGCCTATCTTACACCTGACATAATCTGCCAACTGATCCATATCAACTCCTTCACTCACTGCCATTAGCTCACTTTCATGAATGTTAATTCTTAATCCAGAAACTGCTTCAAATCATCAATTCCTTCTCCCACCATCATTAGTCAATATTTACTTAGATGTTTATTGATTTATGTCAAACAAACAAGGAGAGATGAAGAAAAGTGCCCATCAAGAATCCATAGTATCAGAATATGAACACACACTTTTTCCACTACTCCACTTGAAGAGTCCATGAAACAGTAGGCATCGCCTAGAAATAGAATAATTCTTAGGCATTTTGAAAGATCCAATGTCCAGCCTCACTTAAGAATTTCGACATCACTATAGATATAAAAGCTTGTATCAGAAATCCATATAATTCATCTGCTTTTGAAAAATCAATTAACCATACTGGTAAACTAGAAAATACTTTTACGCCCTAAGAAAAAAGGCTAAATCATTAAATGGTTAAATGGTTGTCATGCTATGTATAGGTTGGCAAGCAGCATAAAAACCTTTAAGCCAAACCAATATGGACAATATGACAGTGCTATTCAAACAGAACATGTGACACTTCAAATAACCAATGTTGGAGAATAAATACTTAGAGTCACGGCCAAACTGCACCAGACAATAACAACATTCAAATAAATGCATGACCAAGTAACAACCGAGGGGCATAAAGATCGGATAGAATACAACGCTTAAAATCCCAAAAAGAAGGATCACCTAAACTTTTCTAAAGGTGCTAAATTTGTAGCATGGTTGGGTTGCTCCATTGCAACCTGGGTGACCAGGTTTCAAATCTTGGAAACAGCCTCTCTGTATGTGCAGGGTAAGGTTGCATACATCTGTCCCTCCCCAGACCCTGCACTGGCAGGAGACTCATGCACTGGGCTACCCTTCACACTCATACTTTCACCATTTCAAAAACTACTTTGACAGAGTGTTGTTGATCAGAATAATTGTGGCATGATATTTTTAACTTCAAATGAATCATCCACATGTTTACTTGTGTAAAGTTTATCAGCAGGAAAACAGAAATATGTAAGTGATCAATATGGATAAATCTAAAGTACTTCTTTTACCATGCAAATTGTAAACAATTCACCCAATTGAAAAGGCAAGAATAAAGAGACCAGTTTTGTGTTGTTATTTCTTAAAGTTTGACCTCTCTTAATAGGAACTACAATAGCTAGGAACAAACAGAGTGGCATGCCATAACCACTTTACCAAGTCCAGAATACAAGGAATTGAAATCAGATCATCAAAATAGTATGGAGAGAACCTTGGAAAGGGCCGGACCCAATCTTCTCATAAGATTATCTAGATGTTCCAATTGATCACCCTGTAGAAATAAGCAGAAGCAGCAGCATATGGTAAACCCAATTTAAAGGTGGGTGGGTGTGGGTGTGGGTGTGGGTGTGGGTGTGGGTGCGTGTGCGTGTGTGGGTGTGTGGGTGGGGGGGAGAAGAGGGGAACTAATCGAGTAAAACTCAGCACCTCTGATTTAGTCCCAGAATTACCATGGTCCAATGCATCAAAATTTCCAACGCCCTTCTGGTTATCAGCCAATACAAGAAACTTAGATGGGAAAAAGGAAAAAAAAAAATAATTAAGTGCAACATAGAATATAACTCAACAACGCCATCAAATCAACAGAAAGATACTCACAGAAGAATGACTTTGATATTCAGTTGCATATCCTGCAAAAGAGAATAACAGCACGTCAATATCTTGATTGCAATATCAAAATCGGAGTAGCAACGAACCCCGACATTGAAGTGATGGAAAATCCAATAAGCAGAAAATCTTAAATATCCTTGATTATGAAACATAACCAGGATTCTAACAGCAAAGATTATTGACATAACAGAAGTGGATCGACCAAGTAGCAGTGTGTTTGGTTTGATGGAAAAGAGAGAGAGAGAGAGAGAGAAAGAAACAGAATTTTTTAATTATTTTCTACTAAACCGAACATAGCATCGGGAAAAAAACATTGTTGAAAATAGAAATTCCATAACCCATTGAAGAGATATAGAAATGGGGGCCTGTGAGACACCGAACGAGATCTAGGAATATTAACAACCATTGTAAAGGAAAAAGAAAGGAGGAATGATCCTACCATCCAGAAAATATATAAAAATACAAATAACTAAAGCAGCTCAGTAGATATGGAACTAAATTAAGGAAAATGTATTAACTAAACACAGCCTAAAGAACCTATGTACAAGCCTGATCCTAGAGAATTTGATGTGAAGGATCTAGGAGAGGAAAGGAAAATGAAGAAAAGGTGAGGAAATGAAGTGAGGAGAATAGATCTAAAGATTCTAGGGTTTGGTGAAATACCAGAGGAGTGAAAACCGTTGTGGAGGCCAAGCAAGAAAACCAAGGGAACCAGCATCGAGAGTATGACGAGACCCAGCACTGCAACCACAAGTCCTCTCCATCCCCTCTTCGTAGGAAGGGAGCCACCACCCTTCATCTCCTCCTCTCCCTACCTACTTAGAAGTCATGAAGTAACCATAATTTTGCACACTGTACACCTCCATATGCTCTCTCTCTCTCTCTCTCTCTCTCTCTCTCTAAATTTGATATCTATTAGTATTATTGTCTATTGTTTTTAACCAGCGGGCTTCATAAACTAATCAGGCACCCGTACCCATGGCACCATGGCACGCATGCAGAAATTGAACTGGGAAGTACGAAGGATGAGATGCCTCGAATCTCATATTTCATCCATCCAATGCTTGCTTAACTGTACCATTTCTTCACCTCTTTAGAATTTAGACTTCAGAATAAAACCTATGCAAATTGGGCGATTCCTTAGATATGATAAGCCCAATAGTTATAACAATTTAGCGATAGATTTTCAAGAAAAAATGACAATGCTTCCAATACTTGTTTTTCATAAAAAAAAAATGCTTAATACTATGCTCTTGGGAAACGTGATTTTCATCACCATTTTTCATGTATGTGCGATAGGTAAGCACCATATAGGATATACATCAGTCAACCGTTAGAGGAAACGATGGGGTCCCGATTTTCGAGGCAATGCCCGATTTTTTAATAATCAATTGAACCAAACAAAGAGATACATAGGTGTTTGTTGAAACTCTTGTGTGGATCCAATGTGACACCGTTTTTTTGAAAAACGGCCACAGTTCCCAACATCCCCTTAGAGGGGCTGAGCCAAGACCAATATACCAATGATAAATCTCAGCCCAATCTGGAAATCAAATTGGGGCACTAAGTTTCCCAAACTAAGACCAAGGACTGAAAAGGTGTAGTTGCTACCTAGTCTCCAAGGGTCTAAAAGGTAACATACTCCATATTGAAATTACTAACTACCAATTATGGTGAAGGTGATAGCTAATTTGTTGGGGCTCTAAACGGTTTCAAGGAAGCCCATCGTAGAAGATGCTTTACATCGAATCATAAAATGTGATCATTTGAGTTTCGAAAAATGTGACAAGAAAAGTCGAGTTTTACATTGATTTTATTGATATAGAATTACACTGATAATCGATGTAAAACTCTACTTTAGATTATGTTTTACATTGATTTATGACATAAAACTTCACTCCATCCAAACGCAGAGTAGAGTTTTACAACGGTCCTAATTTACACTCCTAAATGCCAAAAAAATTGAATCGGCGTAAATATTTACATCGTTTTTTATTTATATCGCTTCCAAACGCAACCTCAGGGGTGAAATTTATGTGGTCTCAAGTTGGACTTCTAACACAATTTGAATTGGCATCGCCCAAAGCTCGAGTCCAATTATTAATATAGTAAAACCACTGTTTAGAAAATCAGACTGAATCAATTGGGTCTGATCGATTGAATCATGACTCGAGATTTTGACTTGTTCAATCTTATCCCAACAACCACCTTTGCTAAAAATTGGTGAAAACTAGTTGATCAACTAGGTTAATCAGAAAAACGATGAACCTGTCCTGGTTACATTGAATTGCATGGGTCTTTAACCAATTGAAATTTTAAAATGTGTTCAATAGGATTTAAACCCATGACTCCTTATTTCCATATATTGATTAGTCTCCGTGTGACACCATCTTTTTACATGGGCTATTAGCTTTAGAAGCCCGACAACTCGCATTTTTGTCTTCTCCCATTTGGTTGGAAAAAGATCTAGCTACCAAAAGATATAGCCTCGAAAAAGGCATGAAAAACCCATTTTGGGCTATTTTCGAGAAGCTCCAAATGGAGCTTTTCGTTTTTCTTTTTGCTTCATCTTCGTGCGAAAGACGCATGGAAAGACGTGCCTCCACCAAATGGTTTGTGGGCTATCAAGATCTTTATGCAAAAAGCTTACATCATCTTTTTGTTGTCAGATCTTCTAAAAGATTTTTCAAAAAAGACTTGCCAAATAGCACATTAATCATCATTAGTCCATTAATTAATGGCTCCTTATTATACATATTACTTTATTATGCATGTATTTTAAAGAAAATGTAAACTAAGAGTATGTATGTATATGCCATGTCATTGTCACCACAATTCAACCCTAGTTGAAGCTCTAACTCACGAGCCTCTCTCTCTCTCTCTCCCTTCTTCAATTTTATGCTTGGTTGGTTCCTTGAACATTGAATAAAATTAATAATGGCCCAATTACAAATGTCATTACATTCCTACTTATGTGATCATTGTGAGCTTTGAGAAGCTTATAGTCGAATCGACTCAAAAAGATTAAGTCACCACCAATTTTTTTTAGAGGATATGGGCCATCATTTTCAACTTAGAAGTAGTGACTCCATTCCCTAAGGGATAAGCACTTAAATGAAATATTCCTAATTCCAAGGATTAGGAGAGGAAAGGTATTAGGCACCCCTTTCTCCAAGCCATTGTAGCTACTCAATATGGTAATTCTTCGGACCCAATTTCTAACAAAAGAGCTAATAAGAATGATTATTAAGAATTCTTAAAATTTGGTGAAAATGTCCTTAATTTCTCCCACAACTGATTTGAGGTAATGTTATCAGGACTTAGGTACTAATTTCCTTAAGACCCTCTCCTCCCTACCTTGTTTCTCTCAATCTGGAGGAAATAGGGAATGTGAGTTCTCCATGGTTTCAAGATTTTGAGGAACCTAAAACCACACTAAAAAACAAAGACTATGAATTTAAGTTAAATAGTATAATGAAAGGCTTACCTCTCGCATGCAACCTTGATAAAGAATGTTCCAACAATTGAGATAGGTTAGAATGAAGCTTGGACAAGCAACTAAGTAGGAGAGTGCTTCTAGTTACCAATCTTTAGTTCGAACATAGGGGAGGCAAAATTGAAGCTTTGAGGCTTAAGTGTTTGGAGATTTCTAACAAATAGAGGCTCTATAAAGGCAAGAGATGCTTTTTATGTCTCTCCCTTTCTTCAATCTTGAGTTGGGTCTCTATTTATAAAGAAAAGGGGGAAAGGTTCGAATATCACCCAATCAGAGAGTATGTGCTTTAAGAAAGTTTTTTCATTAAAATAGGTAAAGAAAAAATGTGCTCAAACAAGCTTTCCTCTTTAGTGAAATGATTCTCTTTGATTTGAGATTGATTTTCACAGGTTTTGTGCATCCAATGGGAGATTGGGGTGTACCTATCATTGCATTCTCGTATTTGGGGTTGTTAGTGGCATAAAATGTAAAATTCACTTAACCATCAATGTCATTTTGTCTTTTCTTTGACTTTAAGTGGGGTATCTTTGGGTTTTAGTTTTTTTTTTAAGTCTACTTGGCTTAACTGTATTGGTCTAGGTGTTTTAACAGGTCAAGTAAGGGGTTGATGTCAACCCCCATCCTCTTGAAGTCATAGGTTGGGACAATTGATGTGGTGATTTAATCTAGTGCATTGAAACGAAATCTTTTTACTTTAATAGTCAAATGACTGAATGAGGTTGTGAAATTTGATGTGCTAGGGTTTTTTCGAATGTAGGCTTGAATTAAGGTGAAAAGTCAAGTGAATGGTTCTAATTTAAGAAATAATTTATTGATCTTAATCATTTGGCTTTATTTATTTTGTATTGTTTAAATCAAATCTTGTTTTTTTAATGGTTAAACGGAGGAGTTAAGTTATTAAATTTAGCATACTTGGGTTTTTTGGGTCTCTAAAGATGATGTTGAGGTCTGGTTAGTTAAACAAATCTTGGATGGTGGAGATCTACGGGTGATATCCTCTAATAATAAGATTTGCTGAAACAAAATCTTAGCTTAATGGAGGGTCAAATGATGGAATTTTAAGATCAAATTCGGTGGATAGACATGAATTAAGATGATGAATCATGTGTAAGGTTCAAATTTAAGAAAGAATTTATTTATCTTGGTTGCTTGGCTCTAATTATTTTGGGTCATTGAAATGGAATCTTGGTATTTTCAATGTTGATCATCGTAGATTTGAGGTGGGATTAGGGGGTTGAGTGTATTCTAGTGACCTCACAAAAATGAATGTGTTGGGTTTGACTTTGTAGAGTCAAGGTTTTTAATGTTGTATAGATCGGGACCATTAGAGAAGAGGTTGGTGTGATGAACAACGAGTCTCCAAGATATGGTGATGAAATTTAACGTGTAACTAAGTTATAGATTTTTAAGTCTAGGAATTATGTTTGATGTTGATCTCAAGGTTATTATTGTCATCTGGATTGTACCAAAATAGGGGATTTTGGGTTTTGGTAAGTTAACTTGGTTATGCTTTCAAGTTTTGAGGTTTAAATAGAGGGTTTAAGAAGGTAGCGTGGATGGAGCAAACAAAAATTGGGTGTTGACAATCATTTATAACTTAGCCCAATCCGGATAAACCTATAATTTTTTTTGGCTCAAGCAATTATTTTCTTTTGAGTTATGTCTTGTTTGGATCTGCATCAAACCCATACATAATACAACTACATCCACATTTTCTTATTATGCTGGACTTTGGATTTAATCCACAACCATCTTATTGTGTTTAAAATAACCAAAAAATTAAAAAAGCTACAAAAATAATATTTGAAGTATATATGTATAAAAAATGTATATAAATATAAAATATTAAATTTATCACTTATAAACTTTATATAATTATACATAATATATGTATGCATAAGTATACTACATATATACTAATATACATAAGATAATAATTTTTTATTAGTCGAGCACCGATCATCGGCCACTACCATCTCTTTCACCACTACTCAAATTAAAACTCAATGCCTCAAGGCCCTCAACAGTCCAACATGACCGGTCGTTGTGCTGCAACAGTCACCGCATCACCGGCCTACATTGCTCACTACCATCGCATTTGCACCATCAAGAACCCACAACTGCCATCGTCACACACTCACACTTAGCCCACTGTCTGGCACCCACGACTACTACCGTCAATCCCCTACCTCTTTTCTCAAGCTAATCACTTTGCTTTTCTTTGCAAACTCAGTCATTTAAGATTCTAGGTCACATGCTAGTCGAATTTGAATCGTTTCAAATATTTGATTTAATAATCAAATTCGAATTCGAATTGATACATTCGATATCCGTCAAATATCGAATCGAATTCGAAATCAAATCTAACCTGATTCGATTCGAATTCAATCCATTTATAGGCCTACTCATGGGTGCAACTTGGGTGGACTGGGTCAGGTTGAGGATTAACCCAAACCCAACTTTAAGTCTTAAACCTCGAGCTCTAGCTTAGATTGCTTTACTTATGACTAAAAAAGTTAATCTATAGATGCACTTAATCATGACTACAACCCAATTTTATATATTTACTAATATTTTAGTAATATTTACAAAAAAAAAATTGTAACATTTAACCATTAATGAATA